GTTTTTTTGAAGGATCAACACCTGACTGAGCCCTGCCTTTTTCATGGTAATGTTTTCACCTGAGTTGCTTCTTATGGTACTAAGAATTAGTTAACTAATACTTATTTAACCTTGGAACAATGTTTATCATAATCCGACTGGCAGATAGTCATTTTATTTAGGCCTTTTCTTTATTGCAACAGGACTAACAAATCTCAGTAAAGAGTATGCTGGGAACAATTTTTTTTTCCAAATAAGTTATCACTCTACTTATTTTCTTTCCATCAAGGGGCATGTTTTGGTGCTGTAGGTTTAAGACTAGTAGCCACACATTAACAAGTTGGAGTTTCCCTCTTGGGTTGAACTCTACTTTTATTTTTGAAGCTGGCCTTCCTATTTTATGATGCTGGCAGCTTTTCCTCCAAAATGCTCTCCAATGTGATTTATTATATTAATACATTCAGAGCTGTTTTTTCATGATAAAGCTTCCTCATGAGCATTACCACTAATTAATATACAAAATGACCCAGCACAATTTAATTATTTGGTAATGTTTTTCGGTGTTTTTTTAAAGATGATGCTTTACAAGTCAAGGCCTAAACTTGCCTGGGTCGTGACCTCTCTGCAGTGTTTGCAGTCTTGTGAAACAAGAAGAAAAGCAAAACATAAATTAGCCTCTTCATTATAAGTTGCTCTACATTTCCCAGTCTTTCAACACTCTGAAGAACATAGTCACTCTCAACGGAAGAGAAAGTTTCACTAGGAAAATGGCAATTCCCCCTTTCTGGGATAAGTAAGAAGTTTCTTACTCAATGCCATTTTTCTAGGGCCACCATTGTCCTCCATGAGAGAGGAGCAAGATGAGGGAGTTTGAATTATGGGCTATGGAACATTAAAAACCTAAGTAAAAAAGAAAAGTAACAGTTACCTTTATTTTTTTTTTATTTTTTATTTTTTTTGTGAGGAAGATCAGCCCTGAGCTAACATCCATGCTAATCCTCCTCTTTTTGCTGAGGAAGACCGGCTCTGAGCTAACATCCATTGCCAATCCTCCTCCCTTTCCCCCCCCCCAAAGCCCCC